GGCACATGGGGGCTCCAGCCGAGGGAGCCCCCGGGTTGCCCCCAGCAGCCCGGGGAAGAGATGGAGCAGCCACGCCGCCACCTCCACACCCTCAAACCGGGAGCCAAGTAGACTTCTTCCCCGCCTCGGCCCATCCAAGCGGGGCCAAGCAGGTCGCTGGAGCCCCGCTCCCCCCACCGGGCTCTCACGCGCGCCCAGCTGAGCGCCCGTGTGTCTCCGTGGCACCGATGTTTTCCCCTCGCCCAGTCTCCTTTCAGGTCGGCGTTCCTCCAGCCTTTGGTTTTACATAAAGCAAACACCCCCGGCGAGCTCCCCAGCTAAGCCAGGCAACCGTGCTGCTGATTTAGGCCATCTGGGGACTGTCCCTCCCTTGTATTTAGATTTCAGGGGCCAAGTTCAGCATTTGTGAGATACTTCGCAAGCCTCGGCAAAGGGGCCACCGGGAGGTTGGAGCGTTCCTGGCACACACCATGGCAGCCTCCCTAGCCAGCAGCTCTCCATCACCGTCGCAGCCTCCAAACAAGCCGTCGCGTCCCCCCCCCAACACTCCTGCCCACCAAGCCTTTTCCTAGCAGCCAAAACCTCCCTGTTTCTCGACGCTTCGCTCCCAGCCCACCCGGAGAGGCGATGGCAGCGCGGCGGGACGCTGCTGCCTGCACAGCTCGGCTACTGGCCCCATCCTGCCCAGGGGGAGCGGGATGCAGAGCCCCTTTTCTGCTCCTCTTGCTTGGGGAGAGGAGAGCGGATCCTGTGACGTTCCCGCTGCCGGCGCTTTCACAAAGGAAACCAGGCCAGGGTGGCGTCCCCGCCGCCGCCTCTCCAGCTACCTACCAGGGAAAGCTGCTCTGTAACCCGAGAGATCCGCAGGCTGGCAGGCAGCGATGCCGTCCCGGGGCAGCGAGCCCAGAGCACGACCGAGTCCCAGCAGGGCTTCGGAGAAAGGGGAGGGAACGGGACCTGCATGCACGGGGTGAGGACAAGAGGGATAAAGTGAACCGTCAGACCGCGCGCTGCTTCCCACCCGCCCTCTCAGCCCTTTGGGACCGCCAGCTCCGAGGTGCAGGAGCCTCAGCACCCCGGGGATGTGATTTCCCCTGCAAATAGGTGTTTGGGGTCCTGCAGCCAGCACGGAGGGTGGGACAGCCCTGGCCAGGCGTGGGGCAGGCAGCAGGGACGGCGTACCCTGGTGGTGTAGGCTTCCTGCAAGACCCCCCCCATCCTATCCCGCTCAGCACCAGTCACCCACAGGGACCAGAGGGCACCAGTGGCTTAAAGGAAGAAGCCAGTGCATGAGTGCGCATGGAGGAAACTCTCCCATGCCTCTGTCCCCGGCTCATCCCGCTCACAGGCTGGGAGAGCCAAACCCACAGAAGGGGAAAGCATCCCAGCCAGCCCGGCCGGCTCCAAACGAGCCTCCCCGGCTTTGCCGTGCAGAGCACCCCAGGCAGCACCCTCCAGCCCAGAGATCAGAGGATGCTCTCCCCACCCTGCCGGGTGCTGGGACAGGGGCTGTGCTGGACCGGTCGGGTCCCCCCGTGCTGCCCGGGGCTGGGGAGAACCCGCACGCCGGGCAGGGAGGACAGGGCGGGGGGGG